TGCTAATCGCCTTATAATTGCTGCTGCAATGGTTTCCACCATGTCTGGTGTAAACCATGTCTGGTGTAAACGGTGTCTGGTGTAAACGCTGTCTGGTGTAAACTGTCTATGGTGTAAACTTTTTCTGGTGTAAACCTTTGTTGGCTTTGTCTGGTGTAAACGACGTCTGGTGTAAACCGTGTCTGGTGTATACGGTGTCTGGTGTAAACGCTGTCTGGTGTAAACTGTCTCTGCTGTAAACTCTTTCTGGTGTAAACCTTTGTCGGTTTTGTCTGGTATAAACCTCGTCTGCGGTAAGACCTTTTTGTCTGGTGTAAACGGTGTCCGGTGTAAACGCTGTCTGGTGTAAACTGTCTCTGCTGTAAACTCTTTCTGGTGTAAACCTTTGTTGGCCTTGTCTGGTGTAAACGACGTCTGGTGTAAACCGTGTCTGGTGTATAGACGGTGTCTGGTGTAATCGATGTCTGGTGTAAACTCTTCTCTGGTGTAAACCTTTGTCGGCTTTGTCTGGTGTAAACTTTTCCATGGTTACTTCGTCTGGCGTAAACAACGTGTGGTGTAAACCGTGCCTGGCGACATGCACCATCATCATCATTATCATCATCATCATCATCATCACCTTCATCATCATCATCATTACCAGCAGCTACGTCATTGCAATCGTCATCGACCTCATCGTTAGCTCATGATCACAATAGCATATCACGGGCGTATCGTGAGATCATCATCTCATGGCACATCATATTTTCATATTTGATGTCATGTCATATTTTCTTTCACGGCATGAGAGTTACATGTGTTTCAGGTTGTGTTGTATTTGTATACTTGGCTTGAAATAGACCCAGCTGACTCGATGTGTTATCGTAGCTGATTGGATTTTTTCCGTCGTTTGCATCGGCATGACGGTGACGGCTTTAGCATGATCAGCATCAGATTTGTTGTTACAGCTGCTTGAATTTTTTTCCTTTGTTGGCATCATCATGACGGTGACAGCTTTTAACATGATCAGCATCATTGACCTTTGTGTCGTATGGCTCGAAGGCAAGTGGACTCGCTTATTCTCGATCGACGGTCGGCAGAATCCGATCCGTGTGGTCGGTAGGGTTCATGAACCAAACGTATCTTTATACATAGATCAGTGGCGTTGGCGCGAGACCGCGAGTTGTGCGAATCTCGCCAGCACAGCCAATTCAACCGTGCGATCAATGGAGCTCATGAAACAAACGTATCTTACGTAGGTACCATCGACTTTATACATAGATCAGTTGCGTTGGCGCGAGACCGGAAGTTGTTCGAATCCCGCCAGCGCAACCAATTCAACCGTATGAAATCATGTTGGACCTTCGAAATCTTGTGTAGCTTTTTATAGCCATGGCTTCGTCTTCTTCCTCCAGTGGTCGCCTTCCGCTGCAGCGGGCTTTGCAAAATCTGCGGATGGAATGCGAGACTGGAGGTCAGCAGAGGTTACAGTCACAGCTCAATGGAAAGAGCATTGAAGAGCTGCGCAAGCTGTGCATAGCAGCTGGTGTGTCAATTCGACTTGGAGATTCTGACGTGAAACTGTCTAAGAGTGACTTAGTGCTTGAGCTGGTGAGGGTGTTGTCGACACCTGCAGAAGCTTGGTGGCAGATGTTGTGATTTGCCTACGTCGTCAAGCTACAATTTTTTTTCCGGTGGATACACGGGAATACGTGCACGTGTATATGTAAAGAGTGGATCGTTAATCACATTGATGGGATCACGGCCAGCGCCATGCTCAGGATTCATCACAACCTTCAGCGGGTGACATTGAGCAGCTCGTCCAAGTTCTCCAGACAGAAGCTGCTGTCAAGGGACGGGAATGGTTGCAGTCGCAACTCGAGGGAAAGGACAGAGACGAATTGCGCAAGCTTTGTACGCAATTGGGTCTTTCCCACCGACGTGCGAACTCTACAAGTATGTTGACGAAGGCAGAGTTGGTGGAGCAATTGTTGCCGGCATTGTCTCCATCTTTGGACCCGTGGCTGCCAGTTTGATGACATGACATAATGTGATGATTCGTATGTGACAAGTATTCTATAGAAATATTTGTTTTTATTGATATGCACTTTTGTCTGTGCACGCGACACGTAAATGTTGTCAGTACACATGAGATATAAATGTTGGATGGGCATATTTTTTGTGAGAACGTTGTACGTTTCAGGTTCTTCGACAGTATGACATAACAGGAGGTTCGGGAATGCATGTGTTCATCCGGTTCTGCAACGTTTCGACTGGCTTTGCTCATTTTAGATGGAGCCCCATACTCAGGAATCGTCGCAACCTGCAGTGAGTGACATTGAGCAGCTCATCCAAGTTCTGCAGACGGAATCTGCTGTCAAGGGACGGGAATGGCTGCAGTCACAGCTCGAGGGAAAGAGCACCAGCGAACTTCGTCAGCTTTGTACATCGTTGGGTCTTTCCCGTCGACGTGCGAATTCTACAAGCATGTTGACGAAGGCAGAGCTGGTGGATCAGTTGTTACCAGCAATGTCTCCATCCTTGGACCCCTGGCTGTCAGTTTTAGAGACAACATGACAGGACACGATGTGATGATTCGTATGTAACAAGTATTCTTTATGCGTTGTCGTTTCAATTTGTTTGTCCGAGGCCTATAGTAGTGTATCTTTTCACTGCTATAAACTTTTGTTTGTACACATTCATCAATAGTATGACATGATATGAGGTTAGGGAGTGCATGTGCTCATCCGGTTCTGTAACTTTTCGAATCGCTTTGCTCATTTTAGAGTGGACCCCATACTCAGGAACCATCGCAGCCTGCAGTGAGTGACATTGAGCAGCTCCTCCAAGTTCTGCAGGCCGAAGCTGCTGTCAAGGGACAGGAGTGGTTGCAGTCACAGCTGCAGGGAAAGGACATTAACGAACTTCGGAAGCTCAGTACGCACTTTGGTCTGTCTCATCGAGCTGCTGACTCTCTGCGTAAATTGAGCAAGGCAGAGCTGGTGCATCAGTTGCTACAAGCAATATCTCCATCTTTGGACCCCTGGCTGCCAGTTTGTGAAACAACATGACAGGATGTGATTTGATTGTTTGTACGTGACATGTGTTCCCTATGTATCGTTTTGCATTATAATACTTTCGTTGCAAGTATCGTCTACAGCTACCAAGACTTGCGCAGCATAACCATTGAGGACAGACCTCAGCAACCGATCGCGACCGGGAGTTGTCCGAAGCCTTTGGTTGCTAAGTATGTCTTCGACGGTAGTGCTGTGCATGCTGTTGCACTGTGACATTTGGACGTTCGAATGGTTTCATGCAGACCAGTATCTTGCAATTTCGATACCCAGGAGGTGTTTCAACGCCGGGGATTGTTATGGGTTGTCATTGTAATTTCGTGTTGTCATCGGTGGTTGTCGTCGTTGATTTCGGACCTGCATCGAGGATCTCCATACTTCGTTGGACGCTTTGCGAGCAGAGGCTGCAATTCGTGGCAAAGAGTGGTTGCAAGCCGAACTGGAAGGGAAGGACACGGATGAACTCCGAAAGCTCAGCTCGGTAGCTAAACTGCCTACAAGAGTTGCTGTTTTCAAGACGATGTTATCGAAAGCGGAACTGGTGGGTCAGCTGCTGAAAGCCTTGGCTGCGAATCCTGAGACTCGATGGCATGTAGCGATGTAGCGCTAATGGGATCATTCAGGTTTGGGATTTGGATGAGATCTCTTCATCCAAACACAATTTCGCACAAAGCTATATATATATACATATACCATGGTCTCGCACCTGCATACAGTTACGAATAATACTAGTATCTGTTCAAAGTACTTGCATATTTGAGAGACTCGATCGACCCAGGAAGAGGCTCCACCGAAGGCACCGCACCAAATCTGGCAATCCCTGTGCGATGATGTGGAAGTGAAAGGCCAGGAGTGGTTGCAGAAGGAGTTGGAAGGAATGGACGCGAATGAATTGCGGACGCTATGTGTACCTGCAGGTGTTTCTTGCCGGGCAGGGGACTCTCGGAGATCAAAGGCTGAGTTGGTGGAACTGCTGACGAAAGCAACTTCTCCATCCATTGAGCCTTGACAACAGCTTTAGGAAAGAAGCGTTTGTTTGTCTTTTCGTTCTGATTGGTATGTTGGAATTTTGCTTTTGTTGTTGTTAGTTTTCAGGACGGTGGTGAGTGTGATGTTCTGACATGTCAGCGATAAGGTAACCGCTGAGCAACTGAAACTGGAGGCGGTACAGCAAGGCCCCAATGCACGGGCGTGGCTTCGTCGCAAATTGAACACTTTCTCGGCCAAGGTAGCCAAGGATTCAGTGGACGGCCGAAGCCCGCTGGCGGCGCTGGGTGCTGAAGTCGGTGTGGAAGACTGTCTGTCTAAGAAGGCGCTGATCGAGCGCATGATCGCCGTCTTGCTGCCAGAAGAATCATTGGACAGCAGCGCCGCGGTGCAGCGGCATGCTTGGCGATTGCTTCGGTCCTGTCTTGGAAGACAAGCAGCAGGCGAGCAAATCGATGCCGATTTCTTGAGCACAGAGGTAGTCGACGCAGATCTTCGGCTGAAACTTCTTGCATGGTGTTTGTGCATTCCGATGGACACTCTGGTGGGACGTCACTATAGCTCTCAGCAGACATTGCTGGAATTGATTCGTAGTCTTGGTTGCATTATGACACACTTCAATTCCGTTTCGGACGTTTGGGCCACACTGGATGTTGACTTGCAAAAACTTGATGCTGATGCTGCATTGCAGCGCTTTCCCAACCTTGAACGCGAGCACGTCATCGCTTTGCTGGCTTGCGTGTTGCACGAGAACCCAGTGAAAGCTCAAGGACGGCGGTAGTTTGATCAAACAGCTGAAGGTTCAGTCTGTTGAAGGTTGTTTTTGCTTAGCACGAGAACATGGAGTTGTTATTTGTTGTTTCCTTGACAGGTTTGTTTTGTCTAACGTTTGCTTTCATCAATGTTTTTGGTTGGGTTGCAGGATGGAAACAGTTGTTGGATTTTGCGGATTCCGTCGATATGTTTGATGTTGCTGAACGTCTTTGGGATCTGCAGACAGTGCGGATGGAACGGCAGTGGAATGAACCAACAGGCTTCGAAGATCAAGAGGACGTTTTAGAGGCGAGGGTGCATGACAGCGTGACTCTTTATAGGTAGGGTACCTGTTTATTTTCTTCATTTTTCGTCGGAGTGTTTTGGTACAATGCTTTCAACCGAATGTTTTGTCTCGTGTAGTACGATCCGTTTGCGAGGCCGTTCTACAAATTCTGCATGGCCGTAGGGCCACAGTGGAGACGGATGGCAAGTCTCGGAAGCGCAAGGGTGCTTTGGATGATGCCGACAAGGCCTTTCTACGTGGTCTCATGCGAAGGTATGGCTTGGAACTGATAGATCATCCGGAAAAGCCGTGTCTGTGGCAGGAAGTGTTCACCAAAGCAGATTTTCTGCAGACACTGTGGTTCGTCATACAGCGACTTCTGCATCCACGTGCATCTGGCGAGTTGACGGCTCTGCGTTGCCTCCATCAACCTGATCGCATTGCTGCACTTAGAGCTTCCAGGAGTCGGGGCGTTGAATGTAGAGGGGTAAATTGTTTGGAAGCCGCTGGACTGGAAGACACACAGTCATGACTACAATTTTGGAGATATCACTGCCTGGCCACTGGATGCCAGCTGCATTACCTTGGGAGGGGATGCCATCTTCCTCGGTAGTGTCAAAGCGGCTGTCAACATTGAAGCGGTGGAGGTGGAGTACACGACAAAGATCTCCCATGTCGTGACCCTGTGTGGGAACGAGATCCAGGTGCGCGGCGCGCCGTCAGATTTGCCCACCTATTTTGAACGTTGCGGCGTCGCTCATATCTGGTGGTTCATCGAGGATCCCACAGTCAAAGACCCAAATACAGAGCTGGCGAAGCATCGTCAGTCTGCCGGTGAATGTTTAGCTTTCTGGAAAGATTTGATGCATGTTCTTTGGGATGTGGCCTCCTACTACTGGAACCACGACATCAGGTTTACGCCTTTGTTTCATTGCTTTGGAGGCATCAATCGCAGTACCGCCGCGCTTTGCACCTGGCTGGTGATCTGGTGGGATCTCAGTGTCGAGGATGCCATTGACTGTGTGCTCCAGCAGCGTCCAAGCCTGAGACCGTGGAAGCGACGAGCATATGTCTTGTATGCACTGCGATCCTTGGAGCATCACAAGCATGCCTGGCGTTGGGAATTTGAAACGTCGTGACCAAAGTGTCGACAAAAAGCTGTGAATTCGTGGCCAAACTGGCTAGAAGGACCTGGGTCCACGACCGGAAGTTGTTCGAAGTCGGCCCTTGTTCCGACTGAATGTGCAGAGACCCCATGAGGAACGGGATCCACGACCGAGAGTTGTTCGAAGTCGATCCTGTTCCGACTGGGTGCGCGAATATACCTGATAACCGATAAAATTGTGCAAACAGAGCTCTATAGACATCTTTTTTTGTTCGATTGTTGGACTTGAATGATATTCTTTGCTTGTTGTGATTTGACCTGAAAGACCAGTTTCGTTTCCAGAGACATTGAGTCTTTTGAACAGGTTGAGCGGCAACAAGTGGGACCAAATGAAAGTGGACACCACGCAATGGAATTCCAGGAGGCCGGCATGTCGATGCCACATATAGTCACCAGCCACGAAGTTACAAGTATCGGCGAAAAGCTGTGAATTGGCTATTGCAAAGTGTCGTGACCAAACTGATTAGAAGGACCTGGGTCCACGACCGGAAGTTGTCCGAAGTCGACCCTTGTTCCAGCTGAACGTGCAGAGACTCCACAAGGCACGAGATCCACGACCGAGAGTTGTTCGAAGTCGATCCTGTTCCGACTGGGTGTGCAACTATATCTGATAACCGACAAAACAACATGAGTTGAACTGTGGGTAATTTGTTTTGTTTTTCAAGTGTTGCATTTGTATGAGCATTGGTTGTCCTGATGCCAGGTTGAGACGTGCGATTTCGCACACTTCGGCGGCTCTTACTACCGGGACTAGCGTTTGAGCTCGACCGGCGCTGGATAAAAAAGAATCGACCGGGACTACCGTTTGGGCTCCGAAGTACAGTGCAACAGAATATACATTAATAGATTTGGTAATAACGTGATAATAGTATCATAATCATAATGTATATATATATATATATTATATATTGTGTCATCTCATCATCATCTCATTTTGTTTCATCTTAATGTTTTGAATCATCATATATCATCTCTTCATTTCTTTAGTGCTCATTCATCTTCTGTTACTTCGCTTTTCTTCCCTTCTATTTGTTCTCTTCCGCCTACTTGCTTTCGGGCCACCCTGTCGTTTAGTTCTGTTTCGGGCGGAACCATCTACTCGGTGTATATGTATATACACATGAGATTTATATACGTTGTGTGCGCTGATGTGTGGATCCTAATCTTTTTACACATGCGCATGCACGTTTCTTCTTGGATATCCGTGAATTTTCTCGAAGCTTGAAGAACGCTGGTCTTTTTGTGCAAGAATTATTTGGCGCGCACCGAGGTCAGAATGTCGCGGCGAATGAAAGGACCGAACCAGGACGACGCGTGAGGGTCACAGCCTCAATCTCAAGGACCTATTTGACTGTATGAGGGGAGGTTCAGATACATTTCCGCTTAGCAGACATTCACTTTGTGACTTGAAACAGTAACTGGTAATTATGTGGCTTATGTTCAGGCTGCAGGTCACTAGAAGGTTCCAGCAACGCCCACAGGTAATGCTGGAACAGTTTCCCGTTAGCAGGTTTGGTCCTCGGTTTCGGTTCTTGGACCTTATAATTTTCAGAGTCGCGCATGGTTTTGACAAAGCTACGTTTGCGCAGAGCTGTTTCCAAGGACTGAGCTGGACAATTTCTTTGTCATCATACAATACTTCATGCCGATGCTATTGGTCCTGGGGTCGGATTCCTGGCGCTTTGGTTTAGCCTCACTTCTACATCAAGCAGTGAAACTCAGGTGGATATATGCAGTCTCCCTCATGGTCCGCGAGGTCGTTTATGAGAAGCAGGTGAGACGGTGAGACTAAATGTTCGGAATCATGGTTGTTGGAAGCCTTTTGCCTTCATGTTGCGAGTGTGACATGGACTTTTTGTCAGCAATTTGTTTATGTTTGTTTGGTAATCGGGGACCTGCCTGAGGAGCGGTTGAAGGATGTGATGCGCATTCAAGGACTGAAAACCTGGGTGGTGACCTCAGTCGCATTGGGATTATGTATTTGGACTGCATGTGGGAGGGTTTGGCATTGTTTACCTGTGATTTTTAGGGATGGCTAACAGCTGTTCATTTGGCTGCTCACCACGGTTGTTTATAATTGGGATGAAGAGAATCGTCAATTGCTTTAATTCATGTTCTCTGCTTTGGAGGGACATGTTGTCAGACAAAGTTGTTTCTACCTCCATTTCTACCTCTTGTACATTTGTTTCTGCAAGGTCTACTGGCTCAGCTGGCTCACAACCGTGCGCTAGCCAGTGGGAAGGATGGAAGGTGGCAGGAATGGTAGCGCAGTAAGATCGGTGACTCGGAGGTGGTGGGGACTATGCCTCGGGAGGGGTAGATCTGGCAGTGGCTGGGTGTCCATTGCGGTAAGTTCATAATGTCCTGTGTTGTTCTGGGTCGGTGATTAAAGCGCCTCGTCCTCAGAATCTCTGAGCAAATACGACCATTTTCTGGAGGAAAGTCGAAGAAGAGCAGCAGTGGAAGTACCAACTGCAAGTAGTACTGGTAGCCACGGCCACAGTACTTGTAGCTGTAATAGAAGCAGCAGGAGGAGTAGCAGTAGCAATTGGGAGTGGTAGCAGGAAGAGAGGTAGTCGGGGTCGGGGGCTCGGAATGACATGTATTTATATTACTATACTATATAGTTTCGGCAGTTGCTTGTTGTGCAGTTCTATCACGCTTTATCAAACCATTGAAACAGAGCCCGCCGGGGAGCTGAGAATAAGAGTTTTATTCTGTAGTGGGAGGGTGAGAAAGGGCAAGAAACTCACATAATGGAAGGAGCAGTGCTATAGCAGTAGAAGCAGGCAGTTTGTCAAGCTTTGCCGGTGTCGCCCTTACGCTGGAAATGCGCCAGGGGATTCTGCAGTTGACTGGGCTTGTCCTTCTTTTGGTCATCCTCTTGAGTGCTGGCAAGGCAATCGGATTTGACAGAGAATCACATTATTGTCACGTACCCAAAGCAGATTTTCAATAAATGGCACATTTGCATGCGTAAGATATTTGAGTGCCCATGTTCAGACTACTTGTAGCATAAAGGGTGTTGGCGTGGCCAAGTGCAGGTCATTCAGTACAGTGACCCAACGGTGCTTTTTGCTTTCTTCTGGATCTACTCATTATCGCAGGGTCCTCAGATGCGTTTGCTGGGATTCATGGTATATATACAAATTATATAGACGCACATCCTGGGTTTTGGGATATATAATTATGTGTCACAGGACCATCCAGAACGTACGTACATACATTTCGTATCATTTCGTCGAGTTTTGTGGGCGTGTGTCATAGAGCACGCACACATACCAGCAAGTACCTGACTGCGCCCCAGAATCCACATTGCCATGGAAGTGGAAGGGGTGCACCCCTTTGCACAAGCACGCAGACCTTAGTCATTATGTGAAGCAGCAATGACTGGTGCAACACTACAATCTCACGACGGCAACACTGGGATGACCATGCTGACCTGCAGATAGCTTGCAAGAGCAAGATTCAGTTAATGACTCAACGAAGTTTACTGCAGGTAGACCTGGGCTGAAATAACGGCATGGCGATGCGTCAGTGGAACAGAAATGTTTAACAAAACGAGGGAGCACTTTACGCGAAAATTAGGTCACAGCCACAGGTTGAAAAACAGTTCAAAAAGAGCGGTACAGAAATGTGCGTCCACTTCAGCTGAAACCCATAGCTTCGTTGGCATGTCTATGGAAACCGCTGCCATGCCCCGTGCCTATATTTTTAAGTTGGAAGAGTGAAAGAATGAACAGGTAGTGATGTGGTTGGTCGGTCGGTGTGTTTGTTTGTTTGTGCGCTTGCTTGTTTGTTTGTTTGTTTGTTTGTTTGGTTTTTGTTTGTTGAGCATGTTCTCCTCAATTTGTTTGTTTGCTTGTTTACTTCTTTGTTTGCTTCTGTCTGTCTGTCTGTCTGCCTCTGTCTCTGTCTCTGTCTCTGTTTGTGTCTCTGTCTCTGTCTCTCTCTCTCTCTCTCTCTATCTATCTATCTATCTATCTATCTTCCTGTCTGTCTGTCTGTCTGTCTGTCTGTCTGTTCGCCTTTTTAGTAAAGTTGGATCTTAATTAGCATACCCGCCCCGCCCTAGCAAACAATCGAGCGAGTCTGAAAAGCAGCACCCCCACAGGCCCCACAAAAACAATTTGGTGGTGGTGGTGGTGGTAGTAGTAGTAGTAGGAGGAGTAGCAGTAGCAGTAGCAGTAGCAGTAGCAGTAGCAGCAGCAGCAGGAGCAGGAGCAGGAGCAGGAGCAGCAGTAGTAGTAGTAGTAGCAGTAGTAGTACTTCAAGGGGGGTTGTGCGCTACCCCCTTGAAACAATTGCTTGGGACAATTAATGAAATCGATTAGTTTTTTCCCGAATGCGTAGCGAAGGGTTCCCGTTTATAGTTGGGGGTCTGGGGGTTGCAGCTGTGTTCGCGTGGCTTGCGTCCTCTCGTCGTCTGTCGTCGTCTCTCGTCGTCGTCGCGTCTCAAATTTGCTGCCATTGGGGGAAGCTTTTGCAAGTGACTTTGCATGGATGTGTCACGTGTCAGCTTGCGCCGCTATTCCATTGTGATTTGCATGACACCAACATGTCGCGCAAGAAACGTGATGCATTTCGCTGCACAGGCGCAGCGTTTTGTGAGATCCGCAGTTTGCTGCGCAGTGCCATTGGGATTAGCGTTTGGAGAGTCGTGTTTTTGGGGTGTTGGATGTGGCCGTGCCATTGGGATTTGCGTTTCAGGGTGTGGCATCGAAGCTCGGTTTTCGTGACAAGTCTCAGCTGAAATGGCGATTTTGGAGGATGGGAGTGTGCTCTGAACGGGTCGAAATCATTCCAAACGTGTGGTGTGGTGCAAATTTTGTTGAAGCTCACATGCGATGATATTGTCACTTTTCGTGGCAGGCGCAGGACTTCGTGCGGGTTTTGAAGCGTGGAAGTGCGATTCTCGTGGCAGGCGCAGGGATTCGTGAGGCTGCGAGGTGTGAGGGAGGTGACATTTCGTGGCAGGCGCAGTACTTTGTGCGCGTCAGACGTGTGGATGCCACAAAGATTCGTGGCAGGCGCAGGGAATCGTGAGGTTGTGAGTTGTGGTAGAGGTGAATGTCGCTGTCACATTGGGATTGGCGTGTGAGCGGATGTTGTTTGGAGGGGCTGGAATCGCGAAACTGCTTGGCAGGGCTGCGTGATGTGTGTGCTTTGATGGGCGTTTCCGCTTGACTTTTGGAGGAAGTCTCGTACGAAACGCTCGTTTTGGAGACTTGACGCGCAACCCTCTGCGGAGATCGTGCGTGTCGAGTGTGCGAAATGCAGGCGAGAGTGCGATTTGTCCCATGCGCGCGCAACCCTCTGCGGAGACCGTGCGTGTCGAGTGCAGGCGAGAGTGCGATTTGTCCCATGCGCGCGCAACCCTCTGCGGAGATCGCGCGTGTCGAGTGAGCGAAATGCAGGCGAGAGTGCGATTTGTCCGGTGCCCGCGCAACCCTCTGCGGAGATCGCGCGCGTCGAGCGCGCGAAATGCAGGCGAGCACTGGCGACTTTGTAGTCCAACTTTAGTACGCGGGGTATCTGGCGAGCTGGAAGATGAGAACTGGTGACTTGGTAGTACAACTTTAGTACGCGGAGCAATCTGTGGAGCTGGAAGCTGAGAACTGGCGACCTTGTAGTACAACTGTAGTACGCGGAGTATCTGGGGAGCTGGAAGCTGAGAACTGGCGACCTTGTAGTACAACTTTAGTACGCGGAGTATCTGGGGAGCTGGAAGAGAGTTGCACAAGAGTGTCCCGCAACAGTGTCCCACTAGAGTGTCTCACAAGAGTGTCCCTTAAAAGTGTCCTACAGGAGTATCCCACAAGAGTGTCCTACAAGAGTGTCCCACAAGAGTGTCCCACAAGAGTGTCCTACACGACTGTCCCACAAGAGTATCCTACAAGAGTGTCCCACAAGAGTGTCCCACAAGAGTGTCCCACAGAGTGTCCCAGAAGAGTGTCCCACAAGAGTGTCCCACAAGAGTTTCCTACAAGAGTGACCCACAAGAGTGTCCTACAAGAGTGTCC